AAGTATCGACAACGACTGGTCACGTTACGGTATCGCGAACTCGTTAAATCCTTTTCGGTATCGTCCATTTGTGAGCGCACTATCTTTGTCTATCACTACGAATCCATATTTTTGTTGCCAACAGTCGCGGCACAACGCGCAAAATTCGTCATATGACATGTCGGTATTCACATGATCGTTATAAACGTGTTTCAAGTTGGTACCATCCTGTTTGAACAGGATCAGCAGATTCGCGTTGTCGCGTATCAGATGTTTAGGTATCCTTGCGTACGTCTGACAGAGATAGAAGCAGTCGACGTTCGCGTGGCGGCCCATCGAAAAGTATTCTCTCACTACATCCTGCTTGTCGCATGCTACGTCATCAAAGATAAAAATAGAATTCGGACGCGCCTCGCTCGGTGGAACGATGTCGCTGTTGTTGGAGAACGTAAAGTAACCCATGGTATAAAGACAAGGGTATGCTCTTGCGCATATTTCAGAAAGGGCCAATCAGTGACTTTGTGCAAGCTTACGTCACACTGAGCGGAAAATTTAAACAGTGTGACTGTAGACGCGTTTCATTTAACGTTTGCAACGCTCGCGAGCATAGGTGCGTTCAGGAATTATGCTCAGATAACTCTTGGGTGCATTTTTGCTATAATATAGGGTAAGTGCGGGTAATACACCAGTGTGGGGAATATGCCACACGTTTTGTTTTACAATGATACCGATTAGCAGCGCTTGCGTTAATGACACAGAATTATGTACAATTGTGTGCTTAACGTGTTGCATAAGTATCAAGAATTTTCTCGCAACAGTATTATTTTTATGAGGTAAATACAATGTAACACAGTGAATCATTACATCCTTATTGTTTGCTTGTTAAACAAGGATGAAACGATTTTCTGTGTTACACAGTATATATATTTATGTACGCACACACATATATATATATATATGTACGTATGTATGTGTGTTTTATTTATGTACGTAAGTATGTATATATTTATGTATGTATGTAATTATATGTATGTACGTATTAATGTATATACATATATATGTATATACATATGTATATACATATTTATGTATTGTAATGTAATGTAATGTACTGTCTGTAAATGTGTTATAGCGGACATAAGGAACTTAAAGAAAAATGTAGATAAAAAATAACAGCAAATGTAGATATTTAAGAGACAGGTTTTTTTATTACTAAATTTAAATGGTTACAATTGTTTATAATTATTTAAGAGACAGACTTTGTATTGGTATATTTTGATATCTTTTTTTGTTTTCGCCTATGATTTTTAGATGCGATCGTTCGGTTTATTTCGCGCACCCTAATGTACGTTCTGGTTCTAATAAGGCATAGTAAAACCTCTTCCGATATTTTAATTTTCAATTTTGGTTGTATTATTTTTGCTAATGTTTGAAATATAAAATTTTCTTTGTTCAAACTAGATCCGTGATACTTATCAAATTCAATATTCATTATATGCGCACATTGTAATAATTTGTCACTCGGATACATACATTTCCCTCGCGAAATAAATTGCAACCAATCTGAATCATACGTTGTTTCTAGTTGGCGCGTTTCAATACCCAATGTCTTGTCTTTACTTTTAAATCTGAACGCTACGTATCCGGCTATATATTTTAAACCCTCTTCATTGATAATTTCATGAACGTTGAAATCCTCTAATGCTTGTAACAACTGTTCTTCGTCACTTGAAATAATCGCGCACGGATCTAATGTTATACAATTTTCATATGAAGCTTCGCCAATACACAATTCTTCTTCTTCATAACTGTAAGTTACAGTAGTGTTTTCTTCTTCAACATAGGATGAAAGTATATCCGTTAACATAGAATCATCGATATCGCAGTTAAGAGGAGATACAAAAATAGGTTCATTCGATTTGTTTTCTTGAACATTACATTCATTTGACAGTGCATATCTAGAATGTTTGCCCAATATATATCGTTTTAATCGGTATTTAAAATCTAAGGGTGTTGGGTGATCGTTCGCACACCCTATTGAACGTAAGAATGAGAACAAATTTTCTAACAAATCTTGATTAAGACGGTAAGTTATTAAATAAGTGATGGGAAAATCGGATGTACTGTATTGTTCTTGTAAGTATAATAATAGTTGTTGTAAAGAAGCGATACTGACTAAGATGCCTTTTTGAAAAGGTAATAAAGTTTTATGCTTTCCTATCCGAGTTTCGTTAATGAAAGACATCATGTTGTTTAAAATCACATTCTGTTCTTCAATATTTATACCGTACGCATTTTTTCCTGTATGTTTACCGTACTTACATTTTGCATTAAAAACATCGAACCAGTCATTACACAATCTGATAACATACGCTGCTTCCTGATATGGTAAATCCAAAAGGTAACTTTTACGGCCGCACCATTCTATCGCAGAAGCTATCGTGTTGGATAAGACTTGCGCAGCAGGAAGAACCTTCTGTCTTTCGGAACCTTGTACATTTAAGTGATACGTAGTGATTTTATGGCTAATTTTTAAATCTCCTGCATTAATGGAAAGCAACTTAAACAATATTTCCTTATCAACTATTTTCCCCTTCCAGATAAACCCTTTGTCCAGAAAATGATTCCTCAACAACTTGAGAAGATGCGGAGCATCTGCAAAAACAAATACTTTTAAGTCATTGCGTGCGGGATGTTGAAAATAAGACTTTTGGGGATGCATTCCTATTTCCAATTGTGACCATAATTTAAGATTGCCCGGGCCCAAGTCACTAGTTATAGCAACCACTATATAACCAGCATCATGCAATTTTAAAATAATATTGTTGAGAGTCGTCGCATCCATTGTTTTATCAAATTCGTAATAAACAAGTTGTTTCCAAGATGCAAAAAGGCTTCTTACCATTACACACTGGCAAGTTTTATGAGGACCAATAACCTTTTCTAACTTACGATCTATCGCAATTTTGTCGTTAATATAAATTTCGTCAAACGTTAACACAACTAGTCTTTCAATATCAAGCATGCTCTTTTTTCTTGCAATCATGCAATGGAGTACAGAGAAGAGTATACCCGGTTCAACATCGATTGTACTTGCCCACCTTCTTAATGTTGAAAGGCCTGGAAGTGGTATTTGCAGAACATGCTTCATATAACGATATGCCTTTGGGCTGACACATCGCAAGGATATCGCGTGTGTGATATCTTCGGAAGACCATTTCATCTTACATAGTGAGGGATTCAATATCATCCGTATTTGTCCTTGACTGAATATTTTTCCCAGTAACTCGTACATTTTTCTTTCCACGAGTTCTTTGTCTTCTTTCGGTCTCGCTTTCTCGTACTTCTTTATCGTCTTTTTCAGTGCAGTCACCTGGAGTTCCAGATCGTGTCTGAAAGTGTAAATAATAAGTGTATATGTGTATAATAATAAGTGTATAATAATAAGTGTATAATAATATGTGTATATTATAAGTGTATAATAATAAGTGTTTATAATCGCATTGTAAGTTCGATGGTGTTCGGCATGTAGTTTAAAGAACTAAAAAGATGGATGTAAAAAAATATTATAAGTAACAAGGCTCAAGAAAAATAAATAATGATATAGAAGATCTAGCTATGATCAGTGGCCTTTATGCTTAATATATACTAAATTTATATGTGATTTGTCTACTTAATATACTTACATATTTAATATAACTTACATTTTGGAAGACATAATAGCTTCTGTACTTGTCGATGGAGTTGAGGAACCTTCGTTCGATGCTGACGGAGTCATTATTTCGTCTAATACCACCGCAGTTGAAGAACCTTCGTTCGATACTGTACGAAGATGTAATGTTGGGATAGCATCAGGACGTAACTTTCTAGTTTTTGAAGGAGAATAGCCCAGCAATTGTTGTTGTAAGTTCTTTGTAAAACATGCATCAGAAAAATGCTTTGAACATATCCTAGCTGAGAGAACCAAACAAAATTTATATTCTGTACAGGCTCATAATAATAAATACATTCAGAAGAAAATGTGATACAATATTACCATATAAAGATACATAACTTACAATATTTTGAAATATTTTTTTTTCCACATGCTTGATGTCACTTATTGGAAAGTACTGGATCTTTTGGGAAGGAAAAATATTTTATCTTTCCTCCAATCTTTTTGGTTTTTGCCAAATAATTTCCACATCCGTTCACGTTACACGTCATTGTAAAAAAAATTCGAAAATGAAACAAGTGACTATATTTTCTCATATGACCGAAAAACAACTGCGTACTCTGTCATTTTAGCTATAATTGCAGCCGAATACGCTACCGATCATATCCGATTCATCCAGACTTTACACGAGTATGACGTAAGCTTGGACAAAATACGGCGAAGTGGTGGGAATGCGCAGTGGTCTGACACGAAACGAGCATACCCTTGTCTTTATACCATGAAGTAACCGATTTCGTCGATAGATGTAAACAAATTTTCGAGATATCGATACTTTGGCTGTTGCAACGATTTCGAATAGACGTACACGTTCTCGAAATGTACGCCGTTCGGACTCTCGAGTAAGCTTACGAGAACGTTGGATATTTATCGTATTAAACGAATTACTGGACACGTCCAGTAGCAGTAGTGACGACGAAATATTATTAAAACTAGAAAAG